AGGAGGCACTAGAAGGGGAGGAGGGGCAGGAGAAAGTGGTGTGGGATGGGGAGGTGGGTGGAGATGGCAGGGTGGAGTGGGAGGGGCTACAGCGGAGCGGCTGCAGAGCCGGGGACACTGAGACCTTGGCGTCAGCCATTCTTAAGAGGAGACCTAAAAAAGAAGAAAGAGAAATGAGATGAGTTTCAATCACCCACTGTGTATTGCAGCAGGATCAGCAGGCAAGTCCAGACGCCCCCCTCCCTGGTGGTGATCTCCAAGCCCTCCCAGGGGCATCCTGGGGGTGGGGGTCCCAAAGCCAGATGTAAAGTGTCTCCAGCCCGTCCTGGTCTACCTCAGCTGAGCCCAGCCACTGAGGTGGAAATGCACATTACCCAGAAGAACACAGGTCCCAGTCTGCTCCCATTAGTGCGTACCAGATGCTGAGACCACCAGGAGCTGTGGTTTCATCAGCTGATCCCCAACAGCCCCGGTGTGGCGCTGTGACTGCAGGAGAAGCCTGAACGTCTCTGTCAGTCACAAACTGCTCGTCTGCCCCTGGTCAGGAAATAGTTAAGCACAGACTTTGCGCAGAATCTGAGCTGATTCCTGTTGTGTGTCCTGATCATGTGACTGGTCTCCCCCCCACACCTCCGTGTGTGTGTGTGTGTGTATTATGTAACAAGTGCCCTCCTGCACACCGACCTGACATCACAGCTGGCATCTCCGATCACTTCCTGTTCATAAAACACTCACAATTTGGGATAAATTTAATGAGGTTTCACTTTCACTTGATTTCATATTCAAGTTTTACTTCATTATAAATCATTTGTAGCAGCCTGTGGTTTGGTGGTGAGTGTGTGTTGTGCACACTTTTCTCTATTCACTACTTGATCCTTTAGAAGAGAGGTTTTCACAAGGTGAGGCATCTCCCTGGGGGTGAGGGAGGAGATGAGGGAAACGAGGTCAAAGGGACGGGAGCATGCAGGCGATGCAAGAACAGGAAGCTGGTTATTGTGACCGGCGGAGGAGGCTTTAAAAACACAGTGCAGAGGGAAACCTCCGAGGAAGTGATGACACGCTTGTGTCAGTGTGACGCAGGCGATGAGCATCCTCCTCCTCCTCCTCCTCATCGCTGCAGAGACTGGGGGAGGAGGTTTCTATGGTGATGTTCAGCCTGATGTCTCGGCTCCACGTCTCCTCTGCTTTCACTGAGCAGCAGCTCATCCCGTTTCTGTCCCACCTCCTGACTCTCAGCCCTGTTTCCATAACAATGCTGTTGAAAAGGTGCCGTTTCTGTGGCAACACTTATAAAGATGGTGTTTCCGTGATGACGCTTTTATAGGCTCTCTGCAGATTGACTGTGTTTAAATGTAAGACCTTTTAAACAGCTCATATAATTTAATACCCTTTACCATCTTATCATCCAAAGTAGGAAAGTATAATGGAAAACAGTGACATGGTCCAGTATGATGTGTTCTTAAGTTTTCAGCATCACCTGGGGTAGAATTATATGACTGGAACTAACCGGATGAACAATTACTGCTGTAAGATGGGGGGGGGGCTTCATCAGTTCTGCCCAACTGGCGTTGAGCCGGAGATATTTATCCCTATCGGTGGTGTTTCAGTCCTTTGAAGGCCAACAATGTCTCCTAATGACTGGGTTGTTATAGCCAGGTATCGGTGCGCATCGTTACCTGGACTGGGCTATAACAACTCATAAATATCTCCAGCTCAACGCCAGTCGGGCAGAGCTGATGAAGCCTCTTGGATGAGAGGTGAAATGTCTTCGACCTAGAAATCTAGTCCAGTTGATTTTTGTCTAAGTTTTTTTTTCAGCTTACTATGACCTGAATGACTGAGAATCTGCACAGACAATTACTGCTGTAGGTGGTAATGGTCGACTGGGACGTCATCAAACATCATGTTGTGTCCCACCAACATGGTTTCCTGCGACATATGTCATGAATGTTGACATATACTGCCACATGTCCTCCTGATGACATCAGCAACACATCGACCAATCACCTGACAAAGTGAAGAGGAGTTGAGTATGATGTCAACCCAGCAGAAAGTGTGTGGGAGTGTGTTCATATGTGTGATGGTTTCCAGATTTGAGGTTCCAGGATTGTTGAGGCGTGGGCAGATTCACACACACACGCCTGTTGCCATAGTAACAGTGTGTGTGCTGTCATGTTTTAGCGTGGTGCAGCAGCCAGTCCATCGACATACTGACTTTTATTACAGTGAATCATTCCAATCATTTCTAAAGAAGACCACTGGGAAACACTTCCTGGCTGCAGTTTCCCAAGTGAGACGAACTGCTGCTTTTCTCTGTGATTCCTGAGACTAAAGTTGGGGTCACTGCGTTTTGGATAGCTGATTAAACAGGTCATCTCGATCCAACAACCCAAACTGTGAGACATAAAAAAGTTGAGCAAATCTGGAATTAGTTAATTTTCTGTTGAACAAATCAACAAATTTTTCAGATTCTGAAACACTTCTCATGTCAGTAGCTCAGTCAGGGTGTTGGCACTGGGATAAAAAAAAACAAAACAAAACAAAACAAACCCCCACCGTTTCAAGTGATATGCAACCAAACAGCTTTCTCTCTGTCTTTTATACCAACACAGCCTTTTAAATGATGAGGTGTAAAAGTGTGGAGGTCAGAGTGATGCTACACTTTGACCTTTGACCTCCGGCCTGCTGACCGCTTGTCTTGGTGATGACAGAGAAAACAGACCGATGAGCGTCTCTTCTCTAAGGATCTAAGGATCTCAGCAACACCAGCTCTTTCACTTTCAGTCTCTGCTGCACTGACTCATGCATGGATCCTTCAAACACACAAAGCACTTCAGGGCTGCAGCAGGTTTCACATGGTTCATTAACTTTAATGACAAAAAACCCCCTCACACAGCCGACCGGTGTTAGTTGGAAACAAAGGGGACCTGCCAAAAACCCACCTACTCAGAGTGATGTCAGCTCCAGTGTTGTGCACACAACACTGGACCCACTGCTGTGAGTCCTTAAGAAACACTGGTGAGTTTCTGGGTTGTTGTTCAGCTCGCATCATCCCCACACCAACTTCGCACCCACAGAAGACATGTGACGCTGCGACGACAAACAACACCAGAAACACAAACAGAGTCACAAGAAGTGGGAGAGAAGAAGCCGTTTCAGTCTCTCAACCCAAAGCTGAGATTTTCCTGTCTGGTTGTTTACCGTTGTTCCGGTTTGTCACTGGGATCACGCTGCGTACCAGTTGCTGCAGGAGAAAAGCCTCCAGGCTTCTCATTCTGAAGGAGGTTTGGTTACTTCCTCCTACACGGTCTGAAACATCTCAGAGCCGGTTGTCATCAAGCAGGTTACGTCTGGAAACACGTCTGTTTCAGCCTGTGTCCAGACTGAAACTGGCCTTTGTTCAAACACCGTCCTGAGCATGTGAAAGTCGAAGCACAGCTCAGTGTCTCACTGTCAAACTGTGAAGCCACAACTCAACCCCGTTGCTGAAATTCCTGCAGGATGGAAACCAATATAATCTGGAAATTAAAAACCTGTGAGTCCATGTCACGTCTTCTCCGACCAGCTGACCACAGCTGAGCTCACAGTGGTTCTGCTGATGTGAACTGGTGTCTGGTTTTAAACGAGCTTTACTGATGCATCAGTCCGGCAAAAACGAACTCCTTTCATTACTTTATCAACCAAAGTTAATAAATAAACTCTAACCTAAAGGGGCGGCTTCTCTTAAATACTGAATACTTGTGGAAAACTATGAGGAAGCACACACACACAGATCTTTATCATAAAGAGACTGAGGTCTGGTCTCAGGTTCACGTTTCAGCCCGGACAGAAAGTTTCCAGAAAGACGAGACCGTTTGTTCCTGATCTGATGAAACCTGATCGCTGTTGCTCTTGTGTCAACCCTGATTTAAACCCATCAGTTTCTCCTGCTTTGTTCACTTTGCTCTGTCACAGTCCTCTTTGAATTCAGACACTAACACTGATCCACTTCAGAAATTTGACACTTTATCAAAAAGAAGTTTGGAGAAAATCTTGGTTATCCTCTGCTGTCAAGCATCAGAGCTGAAACTCCACAGAAAAAAAAACACTGGAAATAAAACAGTGAAATGTCTGTCTACATGTTGTTAGTGTAGCTGTGTGCAGTGAATTCTGGGTACTGTAGTAACAGTGGAGAAACGGGAACCAGCCATCATTCAGTGGCTTCCATAGAACAAACTCCTCTGGATCATTTAATGGAACTGAATTTCTTTTAAATGCTGGTAATAATTAGGACTGCACTATCAATTAATTTAGTTTTTTTATTAAATGTTTGGTTAATAAAATGTGAAGCTGTACTTTCCCACAGTCTGAGGTGATGTATTCATTTCTCTTTGTATTCAACCAACAGTCCAAAACCCAGAATCCTCAGTTCCAGCAAGATGTGACAAAAAAAAAAAAAAAGCAGCAAATCACCACATCTAAGAACATCTGTCATAATTCAGCAATGATGTGAATATTAGCCAAAGGATTTACTGCCAATTGAACAAAAGTAAATATATTTCTAATAACATTAAAGGGCAGAGTTGAGATAAACTGACATGAACAGAGCGACAGTGAAGGCAGTGTCAGCACTGACTGATGGAGGAGTTCAGGGCAAAGTGTAAAGTTTTATCACCACAATGTCTATTAACTACAAAACGTTAGAGCACAGACAGACAACATTAACAAGGTAATAACTACCACAACACTGTCCCAAGTTTTCGTCATCAGTGACTCCCCCCCCATACGACTATACATTTTTCTGGAAGGTACTAATTTCCCTCATTTTCTTCTTTATTTTATACAAAAGAACATTAAACTAGAATTAAACTGAATTTCAGCATCAGCTGATCAACACAAAACAAATCTATGTATTTTGATAAACGATT